GCTGTATCAGATAATGACTAGTCACCACATAACGTCAGTTAAGTTTGAAAACATGATGTACAAAATACAAAACCGGCCTCATTTATTCGGCTTTTCCAACAAACAAGTCTTCGCGGTAATGTCGTTCGCGGTAACGTCGTTCGCGGTAATGTCGCTGTATCGAAAATAGTCAACTTTTACACGATCTGGTCAAGAGTAGCTCACCTGGGTAACTTTTTTGTCAAAGAACGATAAACTAGTTTTGCAAACATAGAATTCAGAGGAAATATAAGTTTTATTCATTACTTGGATAATTCTTGTTATATATAATACAACTCCAAATACGAGGAGCAGAACAGTATAGTACGCAACCATCTGTCCTTGAACTTCATAATCACACACGTCGAATAACTATAAAAGACAATTATTTAAAGGCAAAACGAAATATAGTTAACATTTTTATGATAATAAAACATTCATATCTAACCTTCAGTAATTTACTTATTAACAATGCATATACTGGTTGAACTGTACCATTGCAGAGACAAGCAAAACACCCAATCAATATATACGGCCATTCTTGACTATTCAATTTCAACATTGTTTTTGTTACTGAATTACTTGAGGTCTTCTAAATCAATGACTGATATGAGCATAATACATAACAAAATAGTTTAATCTAGTAATTGCCACACACATTACTAATGAATATTCAAGTATCACTACTTACAGAATCGATAAACTTTACAAACTAGTGAGAAAAAACTATGGTAAAATCTTTCAAACTTTTTCGTCATTTTGAAAATCTTTTGGCCATACTAGAAAAATTTTCGTATTTTTGCTACTCCTCATTTAGTGTAGCTCATTTTGGGCACTTTACTTTTCAATATGAAATAGTGGATTTTGTAGCGAATTGTCTGCTCTACAAAATACTCCATATTTTTTTGCAATCTCATTGAGTTTGGCTACTTATCTTCCTTTTCGACGAAAAATTTGTTTCCTTAGTTTCAGAAACTGAATTTATTTGATTTTTTCCACTTTAATCTTTGAGTACTACGAACTGGAAAAAAGGTATGCATCGGTGTCGATTAACTGATGCCGAAACAACTGGTGTTCTGTTTAAACCGAACATCGGTTTCTTTGATGTTGGTTTAAAACGACAATCGTTTTTTGTTTCGGGTTTTCGGTATCAAAATCGAAACTGATGCATACCTACTAGACAAGAGCACATTCTATTTAGTTTGTTTTGTTTCTAAAACTATGCACCTTTTTTAAAAAATTCATAATGCGTTACCATCATGCGTTACCAAGGCTCAGAAAGTTGAATATCTACGTAAATTTAGACGGAGAACCGAACAGATATCGTTATATTGAGCAGTAAATTTTGATCATATTATGTACTTTTTTTATGCACGCATGGAACATCTCTTAATTGAGCTAAAATTGGTCAGAACTACTGGCAAAATGGATGTCCGGCCTTGTGAGACTTCATTAAAACTCCTATGGGAAAGCCGACTATAGACAAAGCCTCATATTTTAGGCATATTCATCCGCGTTTAACGTACTTTTTGCTCTGGAGCTGTTTTATCCGTTATACTTGAGTTACTAGATCTGCGTCGATCTACAAAAATGAAAATTGAAAATAGAGCATTTTGCTGTTTCATGCTGTACGAACCGTGTACAATCACTTCTCCATCTAATTCTTGTTCTTCGTTACTTATATCCTTATTAATATTTTCTGATTCTTGTAATTTGACGATTGAATAATATTTTCCATCTTTATTCATCATTAATGTTTCATGATCACCTTGTTCTATTATACAACCATTATCGATAATGCATATTTTATTTGCATTTCGAATTGTTGATAAACGGTGAGCAATTATTATTGTCGTCCGACCTAAAAAAAGGTCTTTGCATCAGTTACCACAGAAGTAACCATCTTTTTTTACCTTTGCATGCTTCAGCTAATGCATCGTGAACAATTTTTTCGTTTTGACTATCTAATGCACTCGAAGCTTCATCGAATATTACTATTTTTGGATTATTAACTAATGCACGAGCTATACAGATGCGCTGCTTTTGACCACCCGACAATTGTGCGCCATGCTCCCCAACTAATGTTTGATATCTCTAAATTAATGACATTCAAGTTAAATAACAATTCTAAAGAGTTTAATAATATAGCAATATTTCTTACATTGGGAAATTTGATTATAAAATCATGTGCATTTGCCGTCTTAGCTGCGTCTATTATATCGTCGATTGTTGAATCATCATTACCATATCTTATATTCTCCAGAATTGTGGTTCCAAAAAGAATCTATTGAAAAGAGAGAAACTGAGAGTTATTATCTGTAAGGGCGCGAAAATTTCAAAGGTTAACAAATTCAATAAAATTTGCACTATATAATTCCTTTGATTACAGAACATTGACTGTACAAGCGGGATTTCTTCAAGCTATCTTGAATTGCGATAGCAAGTGCAAATAAGCTCTGATCGACCCGTAATCAGAAAAATGCGTTATGCTTTAAAAGAAACTGTTTTATTCAGCGTTTAGCCACAACTGTTTATTCAGAGACGTTTTATTCAGCTTATTGAGCTGCTCTGTTTTTCGTCACAGACGCAGACCACTCCTATGTGAACTAGCACAGCCACGATCGGTTCAGCGAATGATAGATTGTACCAATTGATAAAAGAGGTCGCACATTACCGCTACTTCCCAGCAGTAAGAGGTCAGATATGTTACTGCTGGAAAGTGACAAAAGATCGGGAGAGATAACGCCATCGTTTGACATGCAGAGTCACAATTAACGCAAAAAGAAAACTAACAGATGGCGGTATTTTTCATGATTTACTCTTATTTTCTAGCAGTACATGTGAGACACGCTACTGCTGGAAAGGAATAGTAACGTGCTACTTCGAATTCTCAGGTCACTAACTTTCAACTTCAACTTTTGATCCCTTTACAGACAATAACTCTTATTTGTCAAATTTTCACCGGACCCCTTAACAAAGGACGGGGAACGATAAGAGCCAAAATCAGCCCCCTCTCAAACTAGTCGCATGTTAACACATCCCAAGCAGATTTTTTCTTTTGTCCGCGATTAAACCCAATATATCTTTAGATCTTAAAAATCCTTTTCAGCGCCCCTGAAAACATTTTAAGAAAAAAATCTCTTCCCCTGTTAAATGACCTTTACTCAAAGTATTTTCATCATTCCACCTCTTTCACCTAGAGCAAATATCACCTATTATACACCGTTCGATAGAGAATTCATGGGCTACAAAATGATATATCAGATATTCACAAAAGAATGTAACTGGGTGGTCTAAGATCCGAAATACTTGGTACTATCTCAGCAAACCAGTAGGTCATCCTCACTGATGTTTGTACCATCCATTTAGTTTGTTCTTGACGACTCTACTTTATATATCATTCGAAAGAGACTATTACAGGCTTCAAAATGATATATAAGACAGTCGGAAGAAAGTGTAACTGAGTAGTCTAAGAGTCGCAATACTCGCTGGGTAGCAAATCGGTGGGTTAGCATCGTTCAGATTTATAATGATGACTAATTTTCTCGTTAGTCATACTAGTCCAGTATATCATTCGATAGAGAATTTCACGGGCTTCAAAATGAGCTATAAATAAATCTTTCAAGCATATGGCCACATGGGTCAATAGTCGAAATACGTGGCCAATATAATGATTTTCATCTATCTTAGTGCATTAAACAGTTCTTTAGTCATTTTTCTACCATAATGAAAAATGATGTATTTTCAAAATTATACCATTCGATAGCCCTTTAAATTCTCAACAACGTAAGCTAGTCAGAATATCCAGACAGGTGGAGCCAGTCATTAAAGATATGAAAAAGAAGCGCTTGTGTGTTATCTATGCACTACAGTGTCATAATCCCAAGAACTCCTTTGCTTTTGATTTTTTAGTAAAGGCTGGAACCAAACTGAATACTACTTTGAATAGCCCGAAGATTTTTCTATCAGATGAGGTGCATATCGTCGTTTCATGAGAAAGCTTGATAATAGGGTTGGTCCTGGACAACCTGAGCGCTGGAAAACCATGTCCTTGATTTTTTATCAGAAAGTTTTGCAAACCATATAGCCGGATAGAGGACAGAATTCTGAGCAAAATAAGACCTCTACCGGCTGACTATCATGCTTTTTCACTGGAATGTTTTGGTAATTTCCATGTCCTTTGCAACCATGTGTAAATGGACTGCCGTTGCGTGAAAACGCACTATAGTCAGCCGGTAGAGGTCTTATTTTACTCAGAATTCTATGCTCTATCAGGCTATATGGTTTGCAAAACTTTCTGACCAAAAACCAAGGACTTGGTCTTCCAGCGCTCAGGTTGTCCAGAAATCCTATTATCACGCTTTCTCATGAAACGGCAATATGCACGTCATCTGAAACTTCACTGTAGCGGTGAGAGTAAATCTATATGGAGTTGTCGAGGGGTTAGAATAGAACTGATAAGTTCAGAATGCGTATTAAACAAAGTTTTTTTACACAAGAATGTGATTTAAAGTCTTATTTTAATCATTTCTCATATTTTTGATGAAGGCGCAAATTCCTGAACAATTTTTAGAATTGCTAATTCTGTACTTTTCCATGAACACACATACATTTTAAATAAATCGATTCATATTTAATCATACCGGTTCCTGATTGACAACACCAATATTTTGTCTTAACCATTGTAAGTTATAATCATGGATAAGGCGTCCATCGATTCGAATCTCACCTGACAGTGGTTCATAGAACCGCAGTAATAGTTGTACGATTGTACTTTTACCTATTGATACAAAAACTTATTTTCGGAAAATCTATTTATATTATATTAGAAAACCCTACCACAACCACTACTTCCCAATAAAGCCAACGTTTCACCACGTTTAATGCTGAAGCTTAGACTATTAAGTATTTTTATATCCAATCTTGATGGATAACTAAAATGTACATTGTTGAATTCAATATCACTAATTAGATCTATATCTTTAATATCAAAATTATAATTTAATGGGTTCTGACACGGCTGAAAAAGAAAAAATTATAAAATGATATATTGACTAAGTTATCCATAAATTGTACTGCCATTGAACAGATATTTGAGCTACCATTTATTGTCACTTCACTCTATATATATGATTGTTTTCTTCACCAAATTTCTTTGTGGGCTCAACTCCTCACGTACTCCTTAGTTACGCAGCTTTTATCTCTAATTGGCAAAATAGCTCGAATGTTGTGTGGCATTAATTTTACTGTATCAGAGGGTTATTCAAAAGTTTTTTCCCGTCTTTGTGTGCTTCATTTCTCAGATCTGAAGTGCAGTATGCACTTCTTTTTCTATTAGAAAGAGAAAGTTTTAGACTACAATAATATATAAGAACAGTGGACACCAACTGATTGATGAATGAAAAAGATGTGTTAGTTTTACAAGACAAACAACTCAATAACCCATTAGTGAAAGCGAAATGTTTCCCGCTTGTACTGGAAGGTCAATTAATATATTCATTTCAAATAGGTAATTAAGGCTACTGCGTTAATGTATGTTCATGCAGCGACCCGATTAGTCTCGTATTTCGATTCGTGCATTTTTGTTTCGGTAGTTTCTCCTTAAATTTCTGGCGCTGACATGTAAATTT